GCTAAAGAATCTCAAACACCTAGTGTTTCAATTTAAAGCAAGCGGAAAAGGTTACGTTTGCTTATTATATACACGCATGTGTATGGTGCACTTGTGTGACACTTCCATGCAGGAAGCAGGAAGTACGACAGAGTAGTAAGTAGTAACACTCTTAGTGTACAACCATTTACCTTCTAGAAAAACTAAGCACAATATAAAAATAACATTCTTCTTTAGGGGCTTTATTTAAAACTAGATTCTCACGTCTAGGTCTGAAAGAAAGTAACGTAAGTACTGGATTTCTCAATCTGCTTATGTTGCCCATTAGAAAGAGAAAACCACAAACCAAAAACCCACATCATCTACATCATAGCTTTTTGAAAGATAAAACTTAATCCTCACCAAATCCATTATTAAAAGTGCTTCGGAAGATACTTTCACCTGAAAAGGTTCCTGGAATGATAAACGTGATAATGAGTATAAGAAAAGTAACATAAGTAATAAAGCATTCTTGATTATTCACTCAAAGGTACATACCTGTTTTTCTTCGGTGAATAAACAGCATGGTATCAGCTGAAAGGGATCAAAGGAACTATAAAATGAAAGAAAATGTCTCTAAAGATGTAGGACAGCCAGGAAACTTTTCAAGTTTCCCACTGTCTCCTTGGCAGAGGAGGAATAACCTTGCTTTCTTTACTGGACTTTCTCACACCACACCAGGATGACTTCCGCCAAATACAGAAACTTCACTACGCACACTTGTGACTTTAAATACAAAAAATATTTGAAAAGCATATGTGTCATTTCAGGTTGTAATACATATTAATGATTTGCAGTGTTCCAGCTGGACACTACCCAAGACATTTGTTTCATTTCTAGAAAATCTATGTTTGACCATGATGTACGTCAAATAATACCTTTTTATTTGTCTTGAACCTTTAGAAGATTTTGCAGGTTTCAGTTTTTCTTCCTCTCTTCTTCTTGCTAATTCTTCAGCAGACAGATGCTAAAAAAAAAATTAAAAAAAAAATTAAAAAAAAATCTGCTTTAACATTTTAAGTACTCCTTCAGTAGTGATTCCAAAACCAGCCCAGAATAAAATTCTTATCATCAGCATCCTCTTGATACGCTATCAATTTACGTGTTACAGGACTACTCAAGACAGAGGGCAATAGCCATAGCAGAATCATGCAGCGTCAAAGTCACGACAATCAGAGATCTAGTCCACAAAACAACTGATGAGAGAATTCTTCCAATCCCCAGGTCAATCCAGTTCAGTAAAATCACAGCCCATATCACAAGCCATAGATGGATGCAAGTGCAATAACTAAGGAGAAAATCTGCCATTACAATCCGAGGCAAGAATTTATCATGACACCTCTTTAGGGATGAAAGTTTCCAAACTTTATTTCCATCCAAATATATATTTTGCAGAAAGTGTTAGAATTATTAACCACAGCTACTCAAAAATAGGTATGTCATTATAATGTAATGGAGGTAATTGTTACAGATATTTATTACTGAAGGTTGCAAATGTAAGTGGTTTTCTATAGAAGAAGAATAGGATGTTTGTAGTTCCTCACTTTTTCTATAATTTGAAATTGTAGGAATGGACATGCTCAAGTGGACATCCTGTTTCCAAGTACTCTATTAAATATTTACACTTGTAGGATTTTTTTTTTTTTCGAAGCACTTCATAAACCACAGTGTTTCTGAGGGTATTGCCAGCAACGGCATTAATATTAGGAACTCGTATCACCTGCACTATAAGCCTGAAGAAAGGATTTAAAAAAAAGTAAAAAATTAAATCTCGTTCTCCTCTCCCCTACTGTTAGCTTTAGTAAGGCAGTTAACTGAAAACAAAGGGTCATGAAATCTCCTACCAGACAAGACAAAGAGCTTTACAGGCATAAACCAGCGTAGGGCTGTGCACGCTCACAACACGAACACCTTCATAAACACCAAAGTACAGCTGTATTTATCAGCAGCATAAAGATCTAACAGCTGCTACATTATTTTCAAATTATTGCTTCCACAAAAAGAGGTTAAGCACCTACTACACAACTGTTCCCCTTGTATATTTGATGCAGCACCACCTGCTAGCAATTAGCAAAAATTAATTCTGTAAGCAAAGTTTAAAACACAGAAGGGTTACCTCAAATGTCTGTCCTTCCAAATCCCTTGCATCACACCAGTTTCCCCAAGGATCACGCACTCGCCGTCGTCTTGTACGCTGCAGCAAGTAAATCAACATGAGTCAAGGATCTTACTCCTGAAAAGACTGAATTTACTTCATTTAATCAGCCCTAAGAACATCATCAAAAAGGTTACTGCCAATGAATGTTACTAACACTACGACATATTTCCAGGAAAGAACGAACACCCTGAGGTTCTGTGGCTCACAGTCTGTAATGAAATACCATCAGTGATGTTTTCAGTTTTTAAGGCTGTAAAGCATAACACCTGGTTGATGCTCCATGGATCATCAACATCTGACAACACCAGTGCATTATTACCCAGCTCTGAATTACAGCTCAGACAATACAAAAAGCTATAAAACCTGTATGTTTACATCTAGTGTATGCTACAGTTCTGTATATTTCAATTTATTTTTTTTTTAGCGGGATGGATTTAGTTTTCCTTTCACCAACTGATTTATTTTGCAATGAAGTACTTAAAAATGCTACATTAAACGTGAATATGAAAATTAAATCTGGCAAGCCTTGGTAATTCATATAGTTATAAAAGAGTTACTGCTAATTGTGTGCATAAGGCGCTCAGTACGTCATACCATATACCTAGTATGCTTAACAGTTAAAAGGCAAGCAACTCAGTAGTGGAATGTGTTGGCAGTGTGTGATTTTCTGGCTAATAAAATTGTGGGGAGGCGACTGGAACACAATTGCAGTGAAGTACCTGTAGACAAATGGAATGTAAGACAGCAGAAGTTAGGACAGACACCTGTCAGAAAGCAGAACTTGTACTTAGGCCGACACTCACATGCAGGGCATTCTAATGCAACCGCAAACTGAACAAGCGAAGAAATCTCCTGAGATGCCCTAGCTTGAAAAGGCCTTCTCCATGCTGAATGCTTCTCGCTGCCCCCACCTCCCCCACCAAAACGTACCATTGATTGCAAGCGCTGAGCGAGCTGGTATGCTTCCACTGTGTCTTTGCCTTCTTTGGACCGTGTTTTATCAGCTGGTTGGGGTCGGTTATACACAGCCTGTTCTACAGGATACATGAGAGAGATACACTGTACTTCAGTAAAGTATGAAGCTGCTTATTACTGGTACAGAGCCAAGAACGACAGAGACAAGCAGTAAGGACAAATGCTGTCAAGAAAAAAGCAACAACTGAAAAACAGTGAAAAGGCATCTCTTGATGGTCCTATTACTGACTGATTATATAGCCCTCTCCCACTACCACAGCAGTTTTAAGACAGGAAAATCTCCTTCCTTCTTGTTAATTTATTTCAGAAAAAAACCATATCTGCAGGCCATTCCTCTTCTCCTAGAGGACTGTCATTCAACATTGGGTCAAACTCAATCCAGAGACTCTAAACGAACATTAAGTGTATATGCACTCTTAACATGTCACCTAATTTTAACATTTGAATCTTGTAAAAACTAGCCCTGAGGATGAAGACATTGGTTTTGATTTAGAAAATAGTTATAATTCAGTATGGGAAAAGAAACAGTAACATGAATTCTGTCTTACACAGAGGGAGGGCAGAATTTCAGATACAGCAGGTTATCAGGGAAAAAAAAGAAAAAAAAAAACAACACAGAACACACAGAAAAGCACAAAACAAAAATCCACCCCACCAGTTGGCATGCAGTAAACATTGGGGGGGGGGGGGGGGAGGGAAAAGGGAAAAA